TGGATGATCTGGTTGATCTGGAAAGTGACCTGAGATGACATGCTGTGAATTGAAGCTATAGAAATAAACTGCATAGAATTGAATCGGGTTTTGCTATATTTTTTGTTGAAACGTTGCCTTGGCTGCAGGGTAGGCTAGGGTTGGAATTTGACCGAGAAGCTAGTTATTAAAAGACTTTTATCAGATCACACAAAGATGCAAGTGGATCTTACATTTTTATTGAAATGTTTTTTTTTGTTTGTTTGTTTGTTTTTCACGGCACCATAACATGGTGGAGGAGTTTCGGTGCTCGGATGATCCCAGAGTCTTTGTTGTAAATAGTGTCAGACAGCATAACACTAAATACATGAGTGCCCAAAGGGTGCATATTGTCTCCCTTGTTATTTTGAAAATACACAAATAAAATGCGATATGACGCAGAAAATGAGACATTGATCAAATATGCCGACGACATGGCTTTGGTTGCATGTCTCCGCTGCTCCTTCGATGGCTCTCTGTGGAAACGCAACAATCGATCTCATGAAATGGTTTCAGAACAGGAATCTCCAGCTAAATGTAAATAAAACTAAAGAAATGTTCCTCAGCAGCCAACGGAACCTGGAGCTCTCAAATCTGCTCTTTAAACCACTTCAATTAAACCGACTGGATGTAAAGAAAGTGGACTTACAAATATTTAGGAATCATTTTGTTCAATTCTTTCACTTTAATGAACATGTTTATAAAAAAGCGCAGCAGAGGCTGTTCCTGCTGCACCAGCAGAGGAGTTTTAAAGGCAAGACCATCTTATCGAGGGTTTACCAGTGTTTAATTGAGAGTCTTCTAACATTTAGCATTGTTTCTTGGTTTGGTCTTTTAACTGCCAAAAGCTGTCATGATCTGCTCTGATAGCTGGCCTTAATTGCTCATTTCACTCACCTGCCTAGTTCTGCCCAGTTCCTAATCGTCTCTGATCTCATCCACCTGTAGGTTCTGCTTTATATTCGGTCCAGCCCAGCTATTGGGGCCAGATCTTTTTTGCTGCCCGTTTGTTTGTCTGTTTAGTTTATTCTATGGTTCATGTCCTGGTTCCAAACAGCCAGTGGAGTGAGAGGGTTTCTGTGTCTGTCTTGTCCTCTGATCGTGTCCTGGTCCCTCTCTGCGGAGCCCTCAGGGTTCAGTTTTATTCCTGTAAGCCTGGCTCCTAGGAGGAGACCAGTTTTAAGTCCTGCTGAAATCTGGTACCACGTAATTTCTTTGCTTCCCTCTAACCCTGAGCCTGCTCCTCTGCATCTGAGCCTGCTTGGCTGCATCTGTGCATGCTTGTCTGCATCTGTGCATGCTTGTCTGCATCAGTGCATGCTCGTCTGCATCTGGTTGAGCTCGTCTGCATCTGGTTGAGCTTGTCTGCATCTGTGCATGCTTGTCTGCATCTGTACATGCTTGTCCGCATCAGTGCATGCTCGTCTGCATCTGGTCGAGCTTGACTGCATCTGTGCATGCTTGTCTGCATCAGTGCATGCTCGTCTGCATCTGGTCGTGGTCGTCTGCATTTGGTCGAGCTCGTCTGCATCTGGTCGAGCTTGTCTGCATCTCGCTGAGATCGTCTGCATCTGGTTGAGCTCGTCTGCATCTGGTCTGCCTGTGCTTCTGCGCCTGTCTGACTCTGGACTCTGAACCTGCCTGAAAGCTCTGTGGAGTCGTGGAAGTCTGGATCCTGCTGTTCCTGTTTGGGTGCAAACCTTTGATAGAGCGGCGTTTGTTTTGGATTCCTGAACTCTTCCTGCCTGCTCTGTCTTGTTGTTTTGAACTTTCCTACTGGCTGTCTCACCTTGATTACGGGTCCATCTGTCCCATTTTATGAAAAAGACAAAGCTAAACTTGGTAGAGTTGTTAAAAAAGGCAGTAAGATTAAAGGCAAACAACAAATCTATTTGTCTCAGCATCTGGTGCTGCTACAGTTGGGGCAAGACAGAAGTTTTAACACTGCTGCTCATATTAATAGAAGTGGTCATAAAGTAAGAGCTTGAAGTATTCCTGAGGTAGTCCTACATGGGAGGTGTGTTTTTGTTAGATTCCAAAAGAACGAATCATTTGAAGTGAGTCTGCATTGGTTAGTTTGAGGAGAAGCTTAAGTCTCTCTAAAAACAGCTCCGTTTATTCCAAGACAGAGGAGTATGACGTGCCTGACCAAATATGGTCATAGCACTGTATCTAAGGAATGTATTAGATAAATAAAACCAGATGTAGATAACTGCAGGAAAATCATCCAGCCGCCTCGAGCTCCATAGCTGCTGCTTTTTATTGAGATCAAAAAGTCTCACTTTTATCTTTCTGAACTAAACGTCTTTAGAATCACTTTATATCACAGAACCTTCAAATGTTCTGTTAGACGTGTGTTCCTGTAGAGCCAGAAAGAGTCTAAATGTCCTGATTTATTTTCATCACAAGTAAAAGAGGATATTGAAAAAAATACACGTCCGAACTTTTCTCACCGACTTTATCACGACAACAACAGCTAGAAAATAAGTTTAAAAGGAAGCAGAAGTTTTTAATCCAGCCAGTTATCATGTTCAGTTAGGAGTTATTCAAACCTTGAAAGTTTGCATATTTATCCTGATGATCTTTGTAGTTCTGGTCCTGACAATCCAGTTATAACGTTTTTGATTAGTTTAAATTGAAGTGAAAACCCTAGAATAGAAATTCTCTCATTTGTAATTTTGTGAATCTGTATTTAAATAATTTGACATTTTTCGCCTCTAGATTTTCTATTATGATTATTTGTGTCCAAGTGTGACAATAAACGAGTTGATTTACTGTATTTCCATTTTGTTTTATTTGCCTTGCCTTTTTTACCATCAGAAGCTGCTCGTATTAAAGGATTATTTTTTTGCATGAACTCACCCTGACAGAAAAAACCACAGCCACCAACCCAAGACAGCAAAGGTTTCCATAGAAAAAGTTGAAGAGCGACCAGACGAAATGGTCTCTTGGAGGCTCTGCAGGGATCTTGATAGCGGTGTGCTGAACCTTTCCTGCAGACTCTGACCCAGGAGAGCTGCTGTACTGCATGGGAACAGCCAGGAAAGGCTTGCTGGGGGCTCCAGGGTTCATCGCTCTCCGCTCAGCAAACTTTTAACAAGGATCTGGAGAATCTGCTTCCCTGCTTCCAGTCAGTTTCCTCTAATGATGCCTGTTGTGAAAAGCATTGATTTTAATCCTGCAGCAGCTGGATTATTATGCAGCAATAGGAGGAGTGACTCCCCCCCCCACCCCCCCACACACACACACA